TATGCAGTGCTTGTACCTGCATTGTGTATTCATGTATAATATATTATGTATATGTTGCAGGGAACTGATTTAATAACCTATACATGTAATGTAGAAATATGTATTATTGATGTTCACTAACAAGAGCTTTGTGTTCAGAGTTGGGAGGGATACAAAGGTATGGTGGAATATGTGGAGGATGCAAGTAAACAAAAGTTCATGGTGTGGTTCATTTGTTTGCTGTGAACTGCAATTAAGGGTGTTAAACAGTGAGAGTTTACTGTGCACAAAAATATACAAAGAAAAACTTTTCTTATCTCACTTCAAAACCATAAACTGCAGAGCACTATATCAGAAGGGAGAGTATTGAGGGGCCACTGTGATATGAAAGGTGAGGGTCACAGCCGTGCTATTACCGTGTTAGCAAGCTAGGCTACACTGCGCATATGGCTATTACACTGGCTGTGGATAGGACTAGTGTTATTCATTTATATGTATAATTTTGTGTAATTAAAATGGTTTCATTTTGACATAAATGATTGATTTCCCTTTGCTTTCAGCTCTGCTGGGCCAGCCTCAAAATAAAATCCACAAAGTTCAGTGACAGTAGAACGGTCATTTCGACCTGTATAGAATACATTATCTGTTTACAGTGGTCTGTTTAAGGTTAGGAGAAGATTATGGTTATGACAAAAACTATGTTTAAAGTATGGTTAAGGTTATGGAACTAAAAAAACACTTTTAAGACTGATGTTCCAGTTAATAAAAAAAGCAAACGCAGGTCTGTGACAGGAAGCACACAGACACACACCCACACCTCCACACCTCGCGTTCTGACTCACTACATTAATAACACAAAATCCCCTGCACTGGCACTGAATGTTGGCACTGGACATAAATCGTGAAGTTCAGATGCCTACAACATTGACATAAGTCCTAGAGACACTGAGCTGGAATTAACGGTGGTTGCATGAATCACACGATTAATGCAGTGGAGAGGTTGTTCCAAATGTTTTCCTCTTTTAATAACAGTCTTCATTCTTTAAATTGATGACTATTGCACATTTAATCAACAGAAGTAGGTTTTGAATTGTATGTGAAACCTAAAGTGAGGTAAAAGAACCGACAAACATGGACGGTTGTTAAACAAACCTTACCGTAATTTTCACTTTGCTGTGAATTTACTTAAAACAATGTTGTGTTATCTGCTTCTCCCCTGATTACCTTTTACAGTAGAAGTAGTCAAGCCAGCAAGGCTGTTATGTTTAGTTAGCACTGAGTCAAAATAAACTGCACTCCCCATGTTCATCATTATGAAGGTACATGCCACCCATTGTAACAGTGTTGCTCACTGATGTGTTTAGTAGTTTTTGGTTATAAATGGCACACATGAACCATCTAAATCAGGGTTTGGCTACACAGACATTACTTGTTAACAAGTTGTTTTTTTAATTATATTCTTAAGTCATTGTTTGTTTAGTTTTTCATTTGTTGACAAAATAACTTTCCCAACAAAGAATAATAACTTTACAGAATTATTTATCGTCAATTCTTGCTTCTGAGTGTGACTCCAAATACTTCCACTGAAAAGGACCTGCTTAGCTCATTCCAAGGTAACAAAAAAATGTATCTTAATGTGATTACAAAACATACGTCTGAATATTATATTCCATTTCTACCAATAGATCCTCCTAAATGTTACACACTGGACCTTTAAAACCCAAAAAATGCCATTGTTTGAGTTGTAGTCAGTTAAAATTAGTAGAAACTATACCCCCCTCGTCGTTGTGTTGCCCATTTGTGCCTGTTGTTGCAGACAGTTAGTGAACAAGCAGGTGACTCATTTAGAAACATAATTGGATTTTTATATTTAACAGGCACATGTGTTATTATCAAGATTTTTTTACTCATTTGTGCATGAAAAACAAATCAACTTATATCTCCCTAGGCTGAGGAGTGTAACTAAAGCTGCAATAAACATCTGTACAATTCCTTTCCCTAAGCCTGTATGAGGTTCATTCCACTGCAAATCCATTCTTGCACACTGCAGCATATTAAAGCCAAGCCTTTTAGGTCTGTATATTGTGCATCATTCCTGTTTCCAGTAGTCAATTTTCAGGCACCCCTCTAATCCTTATCGAGGCCATATCATCCATTGTAAAGTGAGTTTTGTTCCAAACTGATAAGTGGGGGGTTAGTACAATAATGCCGTGCTCAAGCTTAAAGATCTAAAAAAATGCTCCAAGATGTTCATTTCCAGCTCAGTTGAAAATACATTAGCATTGTGTAGATTTGAGTTTATGCATCCCTGAAAGTTTGTGCTTTAAAAGTTGTTTAAAGCAAATTTTCATGTCTAGTGAGCTGTGCGGGGAGGATAAACCAATTTTAGTCAAAGAGCGACCCTTTTACAGCTGTGGGTCATGGGAGTTCTTAGCGGGTCTGTGAGAGCACACACTGCTCTCACTCTGTAGTTCAAAAATGTAGGAACTGTATCCTCATTAAACCCAGTCACTCTTGTGATGTAAATCTGCATACCCTGCTCTTGCTCTTACATCAAAGCTGTCTATATGAAAGAGAAGACAAATATTCATATTAAGACACTTGTAGAAATCTTTCAAAAGGCATGGGATTTTTGATTCTTGCTTAAAGCTAGCAGTTGTACTATTATAAAAGCACGACATTTTCTGAAGTGCAACACATATCGGAAGCATCACATATGGCCTGCAGCACACGTGACACGCCATACAGAGAGAAACTGTAGTACAGTAGCCAAAATGTTGCCAGAATTATTCAGGGCGCAAATGTGATAAAACTGTTGCTTTCCTGATGAGTAGCCACGCATCAATAGGTCTTTTCACACACATATTGTTAACCAAAGACTAGGGCTATATGATTCACACTGCGCTTCTAATAACTCTGGGTTTAAATGACCGTTGGAACATGTGACTAATGCTTGCATTTATGTTTACATTCTGTTGACTTTAGCACTGGCACTTTTAGCCCAGTGTTTAGTTGATTTGCAGGAGATAAGCCCCCAAACACAGCAAGCCATAGGTTAAAGTCAGGGTTATCCCACTTTGGAATGTGCCAGGATCGTGCCATTGTGAAAGCTCTCTCAGCCTGGGACTGAGAATGCTTTTAGCCCTGGGCTACGTAGGGAAATAGTATAGTGGAGTATCTCAACAACTTAATGTATGCCAAGGCACCACCAAACAATGGATGTAGGTATTTTGATGTGGTGTGTGGAGGTCGGGGTGGTGGGCTTGTGGCACAGCTTACTTTTTTGCAGGTGATTGGTGTTGGAGTCCAATCTGGGTTGAGAGTACACAATATCAGACAGATTATAACCGGCATACGTCCTGTGTAGTGTGTCATAGTGGACAACAACTGACACAGTAGAAAGACTAGCATGTTGTAGAAAATAAACCATCTTACCTTGAATATAATCCCAAAAGGTCCACTATCATTAGGCTGTTGATTTATCACATTCTGTTATTATGTCAACTCATTCAGCTACACCCAAAGCACGCTGGTCAATTATCACCAGGTGCCTGCTGTGTGATCATATGGCATTGTTAGACCTAGCAGCAACTGGCATGGGTAAAACCACAAGGCCAATGCAATATAGCTCAAGGTTCCCTTTAACAAATGTGATAATCTCATGTGCAGAAGAGGGCAACAGGTTCACACCAGTCCTAATGTGTGTTGAGTAATAAGATGGAGGGTTTCACCAGAACACAGACCTCATCTATAGAGTCTTTTCTTCATCCTGTTTCGAATAATACCTGTTGATTAAACACTGAGTGATTCAACTGATGCTCTCCAGTGACCCCTCCTATTTGTTAAGGAGACAAATTAAAGTCTTCCATCAAAATGTGATCAATGCCAGGGAGCCTCTGGCTGGAATGGGCACCATGGTATAATGAAGCTATAATTCCACTTTACTGCACGGCAAATGAATGATAGACATTTGAAGGATTTCCTGTTAACCCACTGCCTATTTTATATGTCAATTTGAAAAATTAACCTAAATGTAACCTTTACTGTTGCTACAGTATTTTCTTTACTGATTCATGAATTAATTGGATCACTGATTGATGGATTGGTGACTTACTGTAACTAAAATTCTGCATCAATTTTAACAGACCTAATACGGGTCAGTCGTGCTCTAAAATGATCCAGGTAACTGTTATACCTGACTTGAGATGACTTTAAGTTAGTTTAGAAGGAATTTTCTGAAAGAAATATTACACTTGGATTCATTTTATTATTTATGGAATATGAACAATTAAGTCTTTGGCAAGTGTGTCTTCAGTCTATTTGTATATACATTTTACAAAAGGAAGACAGTGGAAATGCATTAACCCAATAAAATAATTTCCTTTTTAAGTACATTTACACAAGTTCTGCACTTAAATACAATTCTGAGGTAATTGTGCTGAGTAATATCATTTTATGCAACTTTATACTTTCACTCCACAATGTTTTAGAGGGAAATAATGCACATGTTACTCCACTACAATTACGTGGCTAATTACTTTTTAGATTTTACAAAGAAAACCTAGGACTTTTTTAAATGATACGTCATTGTTGTAAACTACTTAAAATTGGTTTTCAAGGGGAATCCAATCTGTGATGATCCGGTCTGTGAATATTTTCATCCCCACTTTGATGCGGTACACTCCCCTCATTCACATTCAGGATGATATCGCTAACCTTTTCTGAGTGCCACATACTACACTAAAGCAAAGCCAAAAAGCAATATTGCACCATGATTGGAAGTCTTTAGCAGACAATGGCTTACTTTGACAGTAACTTCCTTGTTGAATGGATTCTACATCTTATTATTTTACATCAATGGGGAAAAAAATATGTTTGCTTATGGTTAATCTACTTGAGGTTGCTCCTTTTTAAACTACAGCTTTCATACTGTCACCTGCCCCAAATACATATGAATAAGGTCTCAGACATCACAAAGGCAGCTTTGGCATGCATCAAAAGTTCTTAATAAGATACTTTACCTGCAAGGCACCCCATAAGTGACTGCAGCACCAGCAGTTTCCATAGCAACATCATCTTCAATTTTTGTAGGGTCAAAGTAGTCTCACATCCAATCACAAATGTATGGAATCAGAGTCGCACCTTTATGGTTTCCCAGTCTGTATAAAAAGAAAGAGATGAGACAGGTTCTCATTAGCAGCACATTTGAAAAATCACTCGTTGTTTGTTTCTTGCTCAGCATGCTTATTTGACAGTGTGAAATATAGAAAGACAGCACTGCGATAATATCAGCTGCGTTTATGAGTGTATAACATATTTAATTTAACACTATTTAAAGTCTTCACAGTAACGTCTGTTAGTTTCCCTTTAAACCATCAAATCCACGGTTCCCACTTTCCTGAAAGTTGCTCCACAGGAAAAAAAGAATGGGTGTGCTGGGTAGATGGTGGGCGCATGAACACAAAATATCTCATATACATTCATTTCCATATCTTCAGCAACTCTCAGGACAGCTACTTTTAAGTCAACATGAAAGCAAAGCCATGCCTATAAGTTCTCACACTGTAGCATTGCTCTTGCTTGAAGCCTCAAAGCTTTTATGCTCATAAAAGTGTGAAGCCAAAAGATGAAAAATGCTGAAACATCTAGAAGAATTTCGCAACAATTTTGAGCTTTTTCCTCAACACAGACAATATCTCCCTGGAGTCAGAATTAAAAACTTGACAGTTTGTAGAGTGGCAGGATAGGTAGCAGCTCTCAGCATCTTAAACCTCACTAACAGGAAAGACACTGAAGGTATGAATGAGGCTGAGGTAAAAAAAAAAAAAACGTTAAAAGACTGTTGGTTCTTGCAAATGCATTATAATTCAAAAAGGAAACCCAAATGTTATTAAATGACAAACTACTCGCTGACAGTACGTTTTGACACATTCATTATCTTGATACAGTAGATGCTGTCTGTACGGAGACAAAAGAGGATAATTTCTCTAGTTTTTCAGAGTTCTCACCAAAAGACTTTGTGTATGTAATTTGAACCTTAGGCTGTTATTTTTCTCCTTTTCTGAATGTCTTATTTTGTATTTTCCAGGATTAGTTAGATGACTCAGTCATGTGGATTTTTTTGATACCGAAGAATCATTTCATTTCTTAATGAATTTATGGACTTTTATCCTCAGTGGACAAAAAGATTGTTGGGATTTTGCCCCATTGGACAGAGACAGTGCAGAAACAGACTAGGGGAGAGAGGGGTATGACACGCAACAAAGGCCCCTGCTGGCACTGAACCACTGGGACACTGAGGTTATATGGTATGCCCCTTAACCACTAGACTACTGAGTGCCCCATGGCTCTCACATTTGGCTGGCATTCATACCAAAAACAGTCCTCTGTAAAAACAATGCAAGGGGCTGCATTGGTGTGGTCATTTTGCTTCAGGTGCCAGTTATACATGAAATAACAATCTAGGAAGTACGGGTAACTGATCAGTGAATTTGAGGGATTAACAGACTCCAAAACCTCTGGACCAGTTTGACCAGATCTAATAAGTAAAGGTCAGTTGTGCTCTAAAATGAACCAGGTAACTGTAATACCTGACTTGAGATAACAAAAAATTATTATTTTTGGAATATGAACAATTAAGTCTTTGGCAAGTGTGTCTTCAGTCTATTTATATACACTGGAAATGCATTAACCCAATAAAATAATAATCCTTTTTAAGTACATTTACACAAGTTATGCACTTAAGTCCAATTCTGAGGTAACTGTACTGAGTAATATCATTTAATAAGAATTTGTACACAACATTTTAGAGGGAAATAATGTATTTGTTACTCCACTACACTTATCTGACAGCTACTTTTACAAAGAAAAACGTATCATTGTAAACTAGGCTGGGCAGATATCAAGGCAGCACCTATGTTATCATTTGTTGCGCTGACAAACAAAAGAGTGAACACTGCCTTCAGACTAAGTTCAATTTGTGTCCTTTTTTTCAATCGTATAATGTTCAATTAATTTTGACAATGAGACCAAAAGAAAACAATTTTAGTGCAAAATATGCCGCTCAGGCTCTAGGGATTAGGGTTGTTGTTTTTGATGCAATGGTACTTCCTTATCCTCTATTATGATTTCATTTTTATTATTCGTATTGCTATCTTTTCAGACCCATTGCAGCCACCAACCTCCAATATGCATTACCGCCCTCTGCGATTAACAGAAAAGTGTCTTTTGCACCTGCGTGCTCATAGCATGCATACATCCTCACAAAGATACACTGGTGGGATCTGCTTTTCACAGCGCCACTTGTTGTCAAACACTACACAAGGTACATTTAATACTCCATTCTCAGGCTGAACATCAAAATTCTTTCTAACCGTGTAACCAATTTGATAAGTATTTGGTTGAAAGTGGTTGTTGAGTAAAGCAGGATGTAAATAGGGCACAGCGAAGGGAGGCAGATTTATCCAGTTTGCCAGCAACTCTGAGAGAAGAATAAGTTGGAGGAAATGTCAGAGCCTGCCTCTGGAAAAGCTGTACTGATGTAAGAATTAAAGCAATGCAACCAGCTAAGACATGAAATCTACCTTTTGCAGAGCCCCTCTAGGAAACAAACAGCATTAATCTAATGTCTCCTGGGTAAAATATATTTAGAGTCGAGTCATTCTCGACACAAAACTCTCCAAAATTACAACTATTTGTGTAGATTTGCCATTACAGAGAGGCACAGAAGAACTCTTGTTATTCCACCCCTGCTGTGATTCAGCATAGACAGCACAAAGTTTGAAAACACAGCGAGAAAGAATGGAACAAAGCCACTGAAAAACACATCCAAAAAGGCACCTGAAACTGTTTGAGCAGGCCACATTCTCATTAATCCCAGATTCTCTACCTTCCAGCTCTGTCTCCTGTCTCCACCTACAGAAGAGAGGCCTTTTATCTCCATACATCATATAGAGGGTGTCAGAGTCTGTCTTGGCTACATCAATGGTGCAGGGCTGTGCCTTACTCATAGAGAGCAGTTTTATGCATATTAAAGTCTTATAAAGTCATCTGTGCCTTATGAAAGCACTAGGCCCTGTGCCTATTAGGCTAATGCTTGTTTTGTCTGTATCTGTGTGCCATGGTGGAGCCTCATCGGGGTGGAAAATCCTGTTATAGGGCACAGCACACACTCACAGAACTGTAGTTACTCTTGGTAACTACTTATCCTACAGTGTGTTAAGGTCTGTTTTTACAGTATCAGAGTCTTGCTTTGGCCCCCTCCACCCCCTTTCAACTCAACCTGATAAAGCACCCCAGCAGCTAAAGATAACACACTACTGAGAGCCTCACAAACTTGCTCTTGCCTATTACTGCTGTAATCTATTTAGTTACTTGATACCAGGAAAATGGAAGTTGATATATGTTCTGGCTACACAGAGCATATCCAGCTGTGGCTTGTTAACAGAGGCATTGGCTGGGTTTAGAGGGCTTCCTAATGCTTGTAAAACTGAAACTGGCACACATTAAGACACATTCCTCTTGCATACTCATTTGCAAGGACAAATGTCAAAGCACTTAACAAGCAAAAGCAAAGATGACAGAAGGAAAATAAAAAAAAGGTTGAAACTGTAGTTTTAGCAACACTGAACCACAAATATTTCAATCCATTCTGCTGTTAGTGCACAGAAAACAATAAAAAACAAAGCAAAGGGGACAAAAGGATGAGTGTGTAGGATTTAGTAGCATCTAGTTGCTGACTGTAACCAACTGAATATCGCTCACCTTCCAAGTGTCTAGGAGAAACTATGGTGGCTGTGAAAACTCCCCAAAAAGCTTGGAAAAAAGCTTAAAGCCAACAAGACTTTACTGTTTTGACAGAATAAGGTTTCAGAAAAAGGATACATTTTTCGATTCAATGATCACGGATCCAATATCATCGGTGCAAAAAGCAAAAACATTAATCCAGTGTGAAGTTGCTGAATAACACCTGCCTTCCATGTAGCACAAACTAAGGTGGACACGAAAACGCAAAAGGCCCCTATCAGACAGTGTTTGGTTTGTCAATTCTGTAGAAACACGGTGGTTCAACATGGTGGACTCTTTAAGAGGACCCGCTCCCTCTGTAGATAAAAACAACTCATTCTAAGGAAACAAGAACATAACAACACTTATTTTAAGGTGATTATATACTAATAAAAACATACCTAAGAATATTATATTCCATTTCTGCCAATAGATCCTCTTAAATGTTACACACTGGATGCATTCCTTCCCACTGCCACTGTAGTATTAGAATCTGAACAGTACTTCTACTATTGCAATACCACTAATGCTGCTGCTACTAATGCTACCAGTTTTATACTAATGCTGTTGCCACCATTACAACTACTGCTATTACTTCTATTACAAATACAGATAATAGTATAATAGTATTACTATTGGATTCTACTCACTTCAGTGTTACTATTAATAGTAATAATACCATTCAACCCTGTTTCCCTGCCATAATTCCTTAATTTGCAGTTGGGCTCAGCACCATTCAAGCATCAGATATCATAGATGTAATATACTGCATAGGGAGATGACTGATGATGCTTCAGGGTATAAGGGGAGGACATAATCAATGTATTCAGTCACTAACAAATTACCAGAAAATTGAAAAATTGATAGATTTTTGCCCATCATACAGTTAACAGCTTAATTGAACTGTTCATGTGCAATATGAGGAGAATAACCACAAGCGAATACACTGGACCTTTTAGTAATGACCCAATAGAGACTATTCTGCACATTGCATTCAATAGGAATATGCAGAAAAATGTATACATGAAAAACCATTAGCAGCTAGCTGGTGTGAAATTTGTGAAGCAAAGAAATGTATACATATATTAATCTTGCACATACATATAAATCACCTGTTTTGTTCTCCTTAAAAGCAGTGCACTGCTTGTTCGCTGCCCAAAATGTAAGTTAAGAATCGATCCATTACAAAAGCTGGTTCCAAGACGAAACTGATGTCTTTGTGCAGGAGGTGCAGCCTCGCACCTTGAATTAAATTATCTTGGGAGAAGATAACACGTTTGGTTAATGTACTGCACTGGTCCTAAGAGATCCATCGTCCAATGTTCAATGATATCAGGGCGGAAAGCCAAACAGAAGCAGCAGTGATGGAAGGGAC